GAATCCGCGTCCGGCCTGAAAAACACGAGGACGCTCGTTACGTTGAAACGTAAATCACGGCAGGAATCCCTGGTAAACGAGTTACTCGATCCGGAAAAGCGCTGTCCCCAAAGAGGGAAGCTGAAAAAGCTTCAAATTGGAAACGAAACTTTGTGTCGCGGTAAAGTGTCTTCAACTGGATGACGTTCGATGTCCTATCGCGAAGCGCGCGCCACTCTGTGCCACCGGCGACGTTTAAGTTCGAAAAGTTACTCGATCGCGAGCTATCCATCTCCGCGTACGATCCGCCGCTGTAATTGCTACAATTGCATTTCTCATCGCGGGCATTACGCTCCAGTCCGCCGCGATGACTGGTTACATCGACGTCATTACACCAAAATCGACGATTTAGCAAGATTTTTACATACCCGCGAAACGACCGGTACGAATAAATAATTCCAACCAGTCGCACCAGGCTCACTACGAACCGGTTATTTTTAATTAACCTCGACTCGATTTCCACGAAGGAATCTAGAGCCTGCTGCTTGAAGTTTCTTTTCGCCTCCTTTTTTTCTTACCTCCTCACGAATACACGCGCCATTACGAGACGTTATAACGTTATCGCGGCCGAGTTAAAATAATTCACGAGGCTGTTCGAGCGGCAGCACGCAAATCATTCGAGGATATCAACGGTATCTGGCTGGTTGGTAATCGATACAAGCGCTGCTAGTCGTACAAGCGTTATTTGTAATCGCGACTGTTCGATCGCCGTTGAACAAATGCTTGTTCGTCCAGCTCTCGGTTCACCTGGTTCATCTTTTCATACATTTTTCCGCGATTTTTGATCGGACGAGCGCGCGCGTGCATTTGCACGGGCGCACGTCATTCGGTTGTGGCAACCGCAACAATTATCCTCGGTTCACCAAGTTCCGGCGCTATCAACGACCTGTCAGCCGCGTTAGCGTTGCAATTCTGTTAACAGAGAGGAAGATTTTAAACAATTTGTCGCGGCGCAAACCGTTCTTCTTGAAAAGAAAATTGCGAACGACCGTGCGTGTGTGTAATCATTCGTATCATCTTAAAACTCAACTGACGTTCATGTAACACCGCGAAGCTTTCAACGATCGAACATCAGCCGGAATTTTGCTTCGTATGTCGACAGAACGGAACGCATCACTCCGTTGTCGATTAAATTCTCTTGCTTTGCTCTTTATCTCGCTGTCATGATTTTTTCGCCGTGTGTCGATAGAGGATGTATATATATGTATATATATATTTTTTTTTGTTTTTTTGTGCATAACTATCTTTCCACCTATATACCGTATGTGCCTGTCAATGATATTTTTTTCACCTCGCGGCGTCAAGCCGGGATTACCAGGCAAGAGAGGGACGGCGAATAAAATCGCTGGTCACGGTTTACAGAAAGTCAGGCGTTCGGGCTGCAACGATCCAGCCTCCATTTTACAACGTGTTTTTTTTCGCCTCCCTGTTTCTCCTCCACCGACCGGGCTAAATAACTTCCGATCGCGTAACCACGCCACTGCGAGACGAACGAATCAATCCCGTCGAACTGATCCGCGACTTTTTAAGTATCTGTTTACAAAATCCATCCCTTCGCCGTTAGAACGCGAATAACGAGAAACCAAGAAAATTATTCCTCTGGAAACACGAGCGAACAGCATTTATTATAAAGTATATCTACTCGCGTAACGGATCCGCGAACCGCAGATTCAATCGCTTTCTCGATTTACACGTAACCTACATAACCTGCTGTAACCGATCGGTATCTGCCCACCGATTCCCTCCTCCTGTCCGCGCAAGCCCTCGAGAAATTTCGTGGCAGCGTATCGTTCGCAACGCGTTAATTTCAAAGACGCGGAACAACAACAAGGGAAGGAGGATCGATTCGAGTTTGGAAACTCTGGGGTACGATCGCGCTCGCGTTCACCGATAATGTTTATGAAACCGAGCGGCGAGGCGCCGATCGAATGGTCGGCGGCAAACACGCCTGGGTCGGTGATAATTGAATCTCGCTCACGGGTCGGTTTGCAACGCGAGCGTCCGCGAGCGTTCCGATTCAAAAAGAAATCTCCCCTCCCTCCTGCCCCGCAACCGGATAAATCGCGGCGGATTTTCAGATGAACCGAGGGGGGACACAGTCAGTTTGCCGGCACGTTTTGAGCACGAAGATCCTCGTACAACGACATTAATCAAGGGATTCGCGTAATTTTAATTAAAAACCGTGTCGGCACCGCGAACGAACCGTGAAACAAATTTAATTAATTTTTCAGTGATTCTCGCGCTCGGCGACTCGATTCCCTCGCATCAGCCAGCCAGCCAGCCAGCCAGCCAGCACCGACAATCCCGGTGACTCGTTATTTATCTAAGCCGAAAGGCGCGGCGCGCTTGGATCGGCAATCGAAAGCGGATTTCTGTATTAAACGTGAGTACAATCGCGACCGGTGAATTAGCGGTGAGGCCGGCCCACCGCGAAATTGTTCGCGGTGTCGCGAATCGGTCGACGCATTATCGCCGCATCATCGATATTTCACCCTTCCACCGGTCCCGCCTGATCTTTATTACGACAGGGCTTCAATAAGCCGCGCCCCGATGAAACCGAGGTTTTCAACGAGTTTTCGTTATAACTGCACCACCTCGATATAAATACCGGTATTTTCATCACCGGTATTTACATCGTGCGTGTTTTCGCGTGCCGGCGCGGGGTGACAATAAGCGTCTGGTGGGGGGCGGGGGGAGGAGGGGGGGAGGGGAAGAATTTTCGTACGCGGACGCGCGATATCTCGTATGAATTAACACTCTAACCGGAATATTTGATTGATTGATTGGGCCGGTATATCGGAGTATATTTTTCAAATATATCGTGTATTATATCTGGGCACCGGGTTGATTGAAACATCTGTGTACTGAATAAATTCGAAAGTGTGCGAGCCGAAGCGGTCGACGCGACGTTTCAATTTGACGTTTGAATTTTTCCCCGTGTCAGGGTGTGTTTTGCCTTTTATCGGTGCCAGTGCGTTATCCGGGCCACTTGATGAATCTGCGTTCCCGCGGAAGCGCCGTTGTTTTTCTATTTTTTTTTTTTTTTTTCTTTCTTTCTCTTCACCGACAACGATTTTCTTCCACTGGATGTCTTCAATTAGATTTAAAATTTTAATTAGATTTAATCGTTCGGATTCGACGTATCTCCTGTGTCAACCTGACAAATATTAGCGCTGCTAGCTGCTAGGTTCGAGACGGCATCAGACTGATCAGACGTTCGATTTTTTAATCAGCGAACCGATTTCTAACGTGCAAGGTGTTTCCCGGAGCAGCTCGGCCGCTGCTGCCCGCCCGATAATTCGATAATTCGATCGAACCAGCCGCCGGTGGCACCAGCGTACGTGCACCGCTAGCTCGCCGGGGGATTAATGATACCATTATTCGAGCGTCATCGCGTCTACGTGGAATCGAAAAGGATGTTTCCAGCGCGGCGCCGCGCCGTTTCGCCGCACACGCGCACGTACGCGCTCAAAAACACCGGCGTCAAAGTAAATAGACAAAGACGAGCAGATCGAAGCCTGGTGGCCGCTTTTTCTCTCCCATTTTTCCTCCCTCGCCTCTACGCTCCGCGCGCGCTTTTTAGCTCGCGCCGGTTTTTCCCAACCCGCCTCTGGCACGCGATGCACGCCGCCTCTCCGCGCGCCACCCACAAAGATCTCTTTCGCGTTTCCCTCCCCCCTCCCCCCTCTCTATCCTTTCTTTCTTTTCTTTCCTTTCCCTTTCTTTTCTTTTCTTTCTTCTCCCTCCTCCTCCTCCTCCTCCATCCCCCTGTTTTTCGCGTGATCCAGCGCGACGCGACGGTAGTTCGAGCCTCGAAGCGTACCCCCGAAGTCGGTCAAGCCGCCATATCGTCGAGCCGCTTCTGGGTTGCGGCGTTTAAAAAGCGCGTTTCGGGCGCGCGCGGGAACCCAGACAAACACCAACACACATCGGTCGAGAGGATAGTATCGCTGGTTGCTTGCGCCGACGTCGACAAACACGAACGCCCTCGCCCTCGGGTGGTTTCGAGAAGATTTTTCGACTTGCGGCGCGGAACGCTTTGGGAGCCCTTTGTGATGAACGTTTCATGGAAAGGACAGAGCCTTTGCCCTGGTAATTATGTATCTGACCTGTAATGCGGTTTTAACGCGTTATTGCGGCTCCTAGATACGCGCGTTTTCGTTTGCCTGGCGGTTTTTCTCTCTTCGCCCACCGACGTTTTTAAATTAATACCTACTAATTTTGCGAAACGTGACCGCCGCAACAATCGCGCGTTCCTTGCTTCTCTCCCTCTCTCTCTCGTGCGCGTTCTGCTTCTCCTTGAACCCGAGATCTCTGCGTATTTCTTTGCGTTAAGAAGCCCTACTTTTACTCTGAACAGCATTGTACTAGAAATATTTAATTTCTTTGCGAGTCTTGCGCTTTCACTGGTTAAAAGAATTCGACGGCGCGAGCGACAGGATCGGTTAAACCAGACTCGCAAAGTTCCGCAGTCCGCGAGGAGTAAAGACACGTATTCTCATAAAAATTATCAACACGCGTACGCTCGTATTTAGAACGATCGGAAAATCATTTTTCGACTCGTGTCGAACTTCCATTCACACATTCCAACAACTCCGAACGATTCAGAAATTGTTCCCCCGGCTTCCGTTATTTCGATTGGCGCACGACGGAATCGTTATAATAGCAGCAGTTCCCGATTCTTTCTCGAGCGCCGTGTATATATATTGTTATTTCTTACAAGATGTTCGACAAGATAAAGTTCGAACTCGCACCAGTTTCCTCCTAGCCAGCAAACAGCTCGCCCACGGAGAGCCTTGCACGGAGAGTATTCGTAAATCCTCGTGCAATCTTCCACTTCTTACCATCCGGTCCAATCGATATTCAAAGTAAAGTAAAAGAGTGAAACGAGAGGAAAAAACAGAGAAAAAGAGAGAGGGAGAGAGAGAGAGAGAGAGAGAGAGAGAGAGAGAGAGTCTTACCTCCGCAGGCGGTTTGCCAGCCACGCTGACGCACTCGATCACCAATTCCCGGTCCTCGGTCGTGATAAGGAAGTCGCCCTGAAGGATCTTTGGTTTCTGAGGCGGAACCAGCACGCTCAGCTTGGCGAATCTCGAGCGTAATGCCGGCTGGCCGTCGTTCGTCGGCGAGGCCTGGCACTGGTACGTGCCGTCGTCCTCCAGCTCCACCGGGTAAATATGTAACGAGAAATCGCCTGGAACACACAAAAGAAGCCACGATACTCTTCAGTCTTCCCGCGAACCGTGCCACGGGTGTTTTTTTTTTTTTTTTTTCTTGTAAATTTTCGAAAGGATAGAAACGCAACGTTGCGTCGTTATATGTACAGGGTGGGCCGAAATTCGTAGGATGACTGAGCAAGGGGTGATTCTACGTCAAAAAATAAGAAAAAATTTGCTATAACATTTTTTTATCTGGGGCTCGGTTTTCGAGAAAATCGAGTTTAAAGTTTGTTCATCTTTGTGAATGATTTAGTTGTCTATTCTTCTACCGCGGTTGTTTCCGTCCGAGACAGTGTTTATAAACATTATTTATTGCGTGGTTAAAGCAGTAACACTTTGGTGTTTCTACTGATAATTAATTTTTTAATCCTTGTTACTACAATACAGTACACTATGACAAGTATTGTTTAAAATGTCCTCCTCGTTGCTGCGTGCATAAGTTTGCTCGACGAATTAATGATATCTCAACAGAATGTAAGCGGATATAGTTCTTTAATTTGTCGAATTCCCCTATAATCTTTTGCTTCAAATGTGTAATATTTGAAATATTGTCTTTATAAACTTGTTCTTTGATATGCTTCCATAAAAAAAAAAAAATCTAGAGACGTGAGATCCAGACACCAACGTACCTTACCACCGTGATCCAACACGAATACATTTGATTTAAAAAATTTTTAACCTCCCTCGTGCAATGTGGCGGTGCACCGTCATGTTGGAAAATCATACTCCTTATAGTAGCTAAGGGTACATCCTCTAACAACGAAGGCAATTCATTGCGTAAAAATTCAAAGATGAACAAACTTTAAAGTCAATTTCATCGAGTCCCAGATAAAAAAAAATGTTATACCAAATTTTTTTCTTATTTTTTGACGTAGAATCACCCTCTGTTATACTATGAATTTCAGCCCACCTTGTATATTAATACCGGTCTAGTCTGTATTTTCTTTGGACATTCTTTTCACTCTTTCTCTTTAGCCCCTCGGCTACTGTTGCCGCCTATAAGTGCCCGGCAAATGTTATTGACAATAATTGCAACAAAAGAATTCTTGGCGCGAGTTTTGCGAACTTATTAGAATCGTTGGTCGTTGCTACAATTTCAAAACTAACGCAGGCACTTCACGCAAAGCTTTCGGCTTTGCTTTCGCTACGCGCGTTTCTTTCATCTCACGCGTTTGAAACCGCTACTCGAAACTCAATCACACGCAATAAATAATCATCCGAAGTCCTCGTTCCCACGTTCGTCACGTACGTGTCTGGTTTCCGTTTATTTCGAGCAAAAGGACAAATCTGAATTAAATTCCAATTGCGAAATCTAACTTCGGCGTTTCGATCGAGCTGTCCGACACGTTCGAGAGGTGGATGAGAGTAGGAGAGGTAGGCCGATGAATTTTTAGGCGAGCCAGGTGTGGAGGGTACGCGCGGAATTCCGAAAAGTTCGCAAGTGGACCGCGTGCAAATTGAACCAGCCGGAGATTTTCACTTTATACGCGGCCGGTATCGCAATGTCGGCTAGTAGGAGCGAGGAACGGACAAACGACGAGGAGGAGGAGGAGTAGGAGGACACGGGGCAGGGAATGCGGGGTGCGCTCGGATAGAAAACCATTTACCCCCGTTGATTGAAACTAACGGTTTACGAGCGTCTGTCTGCTCGATCGTATCGTGTCGGCTCGTACGTAGGAAATTCCTCCGCCTGACGGTTTTATTTTGAAATCTCCGCATATACGTGTAAGCTGTCAGAAACAACGCGGCGGCTGTGCGGCGCACGAATCGACGCGAATTAGAACTGGCCCGTTGCCGGCAAGCTGATCTCTCTGATCTTTCTCCCTTCTACGACTATCTCCTGCGAGATATCTCTTTCCTCACCCTCCTCACCCTCATATCTTCTTCTCTGCTCGATGGTCCAAGGTCGTCGATCGTTGGATGCACCACGATGCCCGGAAGCGTCGCAACTTTACCCGCAAGGAAAGTATCTCTATCTCTCTGAACCGGCGATTATCGTCGCCAGCAACCAGACCAATCGCGTTCGAGTAAATTCGTCTGGCGCGTGATTTATTTGCACCGTCTCCCTTCGTCTCTCTTCTTCCCTCCCACTCCGTCCACCCATCCATCTATCTAGACATCTATCATTCTGTCTCCCGTCCTCTTACCCTCCCTCCACCCTCTCCCTCTCATCTATCCTATCCGTCCAATTCCCTGCCGCGTTTCTTTCTTTCGTTCCATTCATGCTTCAGCTTTCACGAGTCCGCGACGGACGGCGTGCGCGACGAGAGCACAATCGCGCTTTTCGACTCGAACGAAATCGAGAAGAACGAACCGGGGGGAGACGAGGCGAGCAAGCGGGAGCGGAGTTGACGTTTTTTGGGTGGACAAGAGGACTGTCCGCTGGTAAATGGGAAAACAGAATCGTCTCACTTGCAACGTTCGACGACCTTGCGATCGAAACTCTCGCTTTCGTTTCTCCGCTTTCGCGCGGAGTATTTTTGACGGAGTATTTTTGATCATCTTTTTTTTGTTACCGTTTCGACGATCCTTTACTGTTCTTCGATTCAGACAGATTTTCAGGGGGATTTTTATCGGTGAAAGAAAGAAACGAAACGAGGAAAACGGAATCGAAAGGCCAGAGCGAAGAAGAAAGGACTTTGTGAAAAGTGGAAATTGTCGCGACTGTGACTTTATTCCGCAGGGATAAAATTCCTCTTTCTCAACGAGCAAAAACTTGTAGTCGAGGAACGTTTGAAATTTGATTCAATACAAACTGAAACAGAGGCAATTATTCTTCGTCGAATGATACAACAAACTGTGTGTTACTTCGCGCAGAAGAATGTAGAGAAGTACTCGTCGTAAGACAAAGTATCCAGAGAACGGATCGTTTTAAGCGAATTACATTTTTTTCAGTCGCGCTTCATTTGAATCGAAAAGCCACTCTTGTTCTGTACCAGAATTCCAAGACGAAATATACTGACCACGGCGTTAGTATACCTTTACGAATGCTAACTAGTTTAAATGTTCATCTTAGGAGGGTTTGCCTTTTTTTATATTATTATACTATTGTCTATATTATTATATTTTTTTATATATTATTATACTATTGTCTATATTATTATATTTTTTTATTAATGTTATACTTAATACATGCTTTTTTTTATATTATTATACTATTGTCTATATTATTATATTTTTTTATATATTATTATACTATTGTCTATATCATTATATTTTTTTTATTAATGTTATACTTAATACATGCCTTTTTTTATATAATTATACTATTGCCTATATTATTATTTTTTTATTAGTGTTATACTTAATTATAACACTAATGACCTTCCAAACATTGTCGACTGTCTTTTGGCTTGGAGTATAGTGTGCGCGCATGTGTGTGTGAGATGTAAGCGAGGCGAGTGTCATAGCGTCTGAGACGAGACAACTCTTTTGATCCAATTTTCGAAATTATCGTGGGTAAAGACAATGCAAATAATTTTAACGTAAGCGGTTTAAAATAAATGTAAAGAAAGCTTATTAATTCAGGAATTAACAGATACTGAAAAAAGTCAGACTGAAAGATAGTGAAAAATAAGACTCTCACGCTATTACAACTTGCTACACGTTATAATACTTTCCAGATCTGTACGCTCTCGCGACTAAATAATTTTCTCTGCAGCTGGTAACCTCCAGGTTCTTTGCACACTCGCGCAACCATACCCTCATAAAACTCGGGCGATTAGGCAAATAATCCCAAGTCTCTGGTTTCTTTTTCACTGCGACAATCGCATCGGACACGCAGCAGGCAGCGACAATTGCCTCGCTGTTAGGCCGCTTAGCAAGAAAGAATACCTAGGCAATTTCCAAGGTTTCCTCACCCCACGTTACATTGAAAAACGAAACAACGTTTCAAGCGCGAAGTCCGATTCGTTTAAATCAAACGATAGCGTGAATCATTCAGTTGCATTTCAACGTATTCTCTCAATAGAAGCCGGCGCGCATCGCGCTCGCCCAACCACTTACGCCACATTAATCCGGCAAACGGCATACTATTTACGCGGTCTACGTGGACACTGCTGTTTCAACGCAGCCGGCGGAAAGTGGATCAACGAACGTGGCGCGCTTTCTTCCGCGAGATGCAAATATTCATAGGGGTTTCGCGGGGCTTACTGGCCAAGGAGGCAATAAACATCGCGTCTCGTTTCCCCACCGTTTTACGTGTGTCTCGCGGGTGAATGCGGCGCGAGATGTGTATTAGCGTGCGCCGCTGGAAAAGAGAAAGGATTTTCAGCCGCGGAGTCCGACGTTCGTTCCGCGGCAATATCACGGGAAATTGGACGCGAAACGTTTCGCGGTGGCGATAAAGGCGCGCGTTATCGTGCGCCAGACTAGACGCCGCGCCGCGAGAGACGAACAAATAGAATTTTCATTCCCGCTCGTTATTGCATTCTGCTCGTTTGTTTGCCCGTTCTTTATAGCGGTGTAGTTTTGATCTACGATCGAGAAACGGAAGAGTGAAATATCGGAACAGTGTCTGGCACTATGTACCAATTTTCGACTCGGGCTTCAGGCGGATACCTCTGTGTGGACTCGTAACGCCGAAAACTTATCGTTGAAATTTAATTGAGTCACGTTGCAGGAGTTTATCGTGCTCTTCTTCTAATTCATCCGAAATTCTCTCTCTCTCTCTCTCTCGCGTGCGCGCGCGCGAATTTAGAATCGAACGGCAACGAGAATGTCGGCAGCTGAATTTTTCTTCGTACACGCCAGATCTAATCCTTCGTTCCGATACAAACCGAACGACGAAAAACAATATGAAATAGTCGAGAACCGAGTATTATCGATCGATAAGTTGCGGCAAGGGTAGGGGCTTTCTCTTCTCAAGAATTCGCCGTCTGACTGCGTCTTTTCACACGCTCTTTTGTACGGTTAAGGTCCAAGGTACGTAACACTTATGACAATTTTATTATTTGAGTAATTTTACCCACGAATG